AGTAATCTCTGTGAGCCTTAATTTTTTTCAGTCAGGGAAATCTGAATAAATGAGCCTAGCAATAAATAACCTAAAATACGTTTTCCTCTGTTCTGTTGCCATACTCGCGACAAATGATATTGAAAAAGAGTGAAGTCTCGGACGTGCCCATAATACAGCCACAGTATTTAAATACAGATGTATTTGTGGCCTCTTTTTGCATCTTAATCTGGGCATTAGCTGTGCTCTGTCATTGTTAGAGGTAACCAGTTCTTTTTCAGGAAATGTCCGGCTCAGGCCCGGAGTCCAGATGCTATTTTCAGGAATGCTATACAAAGAGAATGATGTGTCAGAACTAGGTTCTCTTAGTTCTACAGTTCTGGCAGTTTGTTGGGTTGGAAGTCCTGTTGGGTTTGGATTGGTGAAGGGCACACTTGCTCACGGACACTTTCTGCAGGATAGAATGCAGGAAATATGCTGTCAGAGTTCAGGAAAATTACATTCGGTTGCAGGTTTTAATTCCTCCTTTGACTAATCTTAGTTCTACAGTTTGACTAACCCTTTGACTTCCTATCTCCTGGATTATTACTTTACTTACAGACCAGATTTCAGCATTCGGCTTTGGTTTCCTCTTTCTGAGGCTGGGGATTACCCTTACAACACTGAAATCCGTTCTGAGAGAAAAGAAAAGAAAAAGAAACTCTCTGTATCCTGGCCAAAGAGGGGCAGTGATCTGAGCAGTGGGGACTTCATGCTGACCAATCAGTCAAACCCGCTGAGCCAGCAGAGATTTAGAGTCAAGTGCCCATTGCCTCTCATCCTCATTCACAACAGAAGGAGCAAACAAGAAAGGCTACAAATGAGAGAAAGCTGCTCAGCCCATCTTGCGTGTTTGGTCTTTTAGTAGTTAAGAATCCCCAGGATTGAGCCTTTCTCTGTGCCTTAAGAGTCTGAATGCTTGAATCCAATCTCCACTCAATCTGCTTTGCTCTAGACTGCCTAGACTTCATTACTTTGCCAATCCATTTAGGAAGCATTCTTGTTGCTCCTCTTCAACAGTCTCTTGTTCATGTGTTTCAGGGGATGATGTGACGTACGCCGATGTGCACATTGCCAGAACACAGACAGAAGGCCTACCAAGTAAAACGATTCACGGAGGTTTTGCTCCTGGTATAACACAACTGTGATTTTTTTTCCCAAAAAAACTAGAACGAGTCTCTAAATTAATCAACTCGGTCACCCTGCACTGTTTAAATGTTTAAATCACTATATAACCATCTCTGAGATCCAGATCATCCAGTTGGAAAGCAATATGGATATGATTGTGACACTGCTGGCTCCAGTCTGATCTGAGCAGACAGGAACACATTTAACCCATCCGGTCCGTCTGGTAGATAGCAGTAAATCGACCCAAGGATCGCTTTCATCCGTGTCTTGAAACTAAGGTATCACCTCAACAACATAGCAGGGCAGCTTGTTCCATAGTTTGTGTCAAGAAATGTCTCCTGTTCTCAGTTTATTCCAAGATCTACATTTTTTTTTCATTTCCTGACATAAAATAGATATAGAATATATCACAATAATGATGCCAACAATGGAATGGATTTTAATTGTGCAATATTACCAAAATGGAATGATAATTTCAATAGTTTTCCTGGTAGGTTTTTCCATCATCTTCTTAACTAGTACAGTAGTTGACGGGTAGATTTGGGTCTTGTATTTCAGAGCTTGAACAGACTTACTCAGATATTGGCACTGTTGGGCAGGATATCCCAAAAATAGGCACAGGACGTTCATGGGGTAAGATACTAAAATCTCATTTCCTGCTTTTCACTCACTTCTCTTTTTTTTTCTCCACTTTGTCATGTTTTCTTTCTTGCTATTGTAATGATCTTGAGTACATTCATTCAAAACATAACTCCAAATGGTTAAATGTCTCTTATTCAGAGATCATTCAACTGGAAAACAAGTTGGGTCCTGCAGACCTGAAGTTGTTGCCTAGTTCTGACTGGGTCATTAGCTGGCTACGACCAGGATTCTCTAGAGGCGGCTAATAGCTAGTGCCACAAGGTGTCTGTGATAGTAAGAGCTGCGTTAAGCTCTCAGTCTGATCCATTTTGCTCTGCTGTTTTCACTGTCTTTATATAAAGTGGGAGAGGACATGAAGTGCTTAGGCCGGCTCTTAAACTATTACTTTTTAAAGAACTGCTGAAGCTACTGACACACTGACGAGTGTGCAATCCTGTGTTCATTGCAGACAGCTCGCCCACATGTGCGGAGAGCCGAAGACGAACTGGCAGGCTTTGTCTGATCTCGCTCCTGGCAGTCCTGTGCTGCCTGGCTGTAGCTCTGCCGATAACTCTGCTTACCTCTCGTAAGTGCTGAACAATCTGATCACAGTGAGGGAAAAATCATATCGGAATTTGGGCTGAGCCACAGAGCAACGGGTAGGGTGGTAATTCCAGGGGGAAAAGTAAAAAGAATAAAGTTTCCCGATATTTCGGCTTAGGAGCTACACACACTCGTCTGGCTGCACTGGGGCTTGAGAAGAGGGGGTTGTGGGTTAAAATCCCAGCTGGAACGGTGCTCCTCTTACATTTCTCCCCCAGGAAATACGTCTGGACAAGTGGGCGCTCTCCAAGCCAGCTTTAGAGCTGAGACTTTCATCTGGCCTGCAGGCCTCTGGGGCTCAAAATCTTTTTAATTTGTCAGCACAAGGTTAGCTTCTGCTTGCTTCTTAGGAGAAAAAAGGGTGACAGAGCTAAAAGTTGGCCCCATCTGTACACTCCAATGTGTTCCTTTTTTATTTTGGAGATTCGGTTTTAATTTTGACATTAACAAGGAACATCAGATCAATAACAAGATAAGCCAGAAACAAAGCAATAAGTTTAACCGGGATGCTGTGTGTCTTGTTTCTGTACATGGGAGGAAATAATTAACAATAATTAGGGCAGTACAGAGTGGCAGCAAGCAGGAGGGCGCAGGGCAGGATACCCGTCCATCACAGATCGTGCACACTCACAAACAATTCAGACAGTGGTTAACCCCACCAGCATGTCCTTGGGAGGAAGCCTGAGCCCTGCCATATGACCACAGTGGGAATAGGCCAACCCCACACTGAACGCACCCGAGCCCCAAATTGAACCCGGCGCCCAAGAGCTGTAAGACAGCAAACGTTCTGCCCATCAAACACTAATATACCCCAAAAAGTGGGAGGTTAAAGACCGCACCTACCAACACAACCACAACTATCGGAAAACCACACCATTAAAGCACACATAAAAGAATCGTGTTTGTTTCTAACATTGAGGAAGTCATTTGTGGGCTACAAGGGGTTTACTGAACACCAGACTAAACACCCCTCAGAGGATGTCTTCCTTGATGGCCTCATTCTGACTCAGTCACCCAGATTGACTCAGTGTCATGCGGTCGGTTACTAAATGTCAGCTGCCACGGTGCTGGGTCCAGTCAGACAGTTTACTACTGCATGCTGGAGCTGCCTTTCTCCCCCGACGTCATCCCGGAACAGGACAGGAGATGGGGGTTCAGATGCAGTGTGATGGCCAGGGGTCATGTCTGGACCGGAGCTGCGAAATATAGGACCAAAGCAAACCTTAAACCTTTCAGGACCTTGTTGAGCTTCTGATGTAAAAGTGGGGTTCAGGAAAGCGGAAACCTCTTGGCCTTGGATGTCCTGAGGCTCAGTTTCTCCCAGCACGCTGTCTGAAGGCTTGTAAAAACCCAGTACAACACAGCCCTGACGTGTGGCTTTCCGTACTCAGAACATGTTCCTTTAACTGCCATCTCTCCCTCGCTATTTTTGTTGTCTGTGGATTCCTGCTGCCTGCAGGCGGGTCCCCTCCTGACTTCAGTGCTACACGGTCCTGTTGTCCAGTGGACTCCTGCTCTGTCCAGTGCTTTGACCTAACAAGGAACTTAAAAAAGGTTACAAACAAGAGGAGGCCATTCAGCCCATCCAGTAGTTAGTTAATTGATCCCAGGATCTCATCCAGACATTTACTGAAAGAGGCCAGCGTACTGGCTTTAACAACATGCCTGGACAGCTTGTTCCACACTTCCACAACCCTTTGTGTAAAGACATGCCTCCTGTGCTCTGTTGTACGTATTTTTCCCTCGTCCTGTGGTTAACACTTCACCATTGACTCTGGGGTGCCAGTTGGCAGTGTGTGCTTGGATGAGGTCACCTCACAATCTTCTGTGTGTACGTGCCGGTTCCTTCAGTCTTTCCAGTGCAGGGCCTTCCTCTCACTCAAGGAATCCACAGTGCAGCACTTTTGTTCTACTTAGAAAAGAAACGCTGACAGCCTCTCTATACACACCCACAGACGCACACAAAGCACCACACGGAGGTCTTACAGCTCTTAGCCTAAAATAAGGTATTTCCAGAGGCCTGAGAGCGAGGAGGCTCTCCTTAGTCTCATCATTCCGCGGCTGGAGAAGTTGCCCTTTTCTCTCGAAGGTTGATTAAACACTAGCTGACTGGCAGTCCGACGTGGCTCACCTTTGTCCAGTCTCTCAATCTGCAGGAGAGTCGAACTACTCCTGTGAGGAGCCCTGGAGGCTGTTCAAGGACAAGTGCTACTTCCTGTCTGAAGACAAAATGAACTGGAACAGGAGTCGTGACAACTGCACTTCAATGCACAGCCACCTTGTCGTTATAGACAGCCAAGAGGAGCAGGTACTGCAAGAGGCTTTATTGCCTTTCCTGCAAACCAGAAAACTCAAAATGAAGAAATTAGTGCTGCAGTGGTTAGTTTTGTTGCCTCACAGTGCTGGGCTCAATTCCTCGCTATCTCCATATCATCCTTGTATTTACAGAGGTTTTCTCCTAAAGGGCCAATAGATCAGCTATGTTTTAAAAATACAGTGATAACTACAAGTATGGAAATGATTGTTAAGGACCTATCCATCTATCCATTTTCTCACCCCTCTGTCCAGTACAGAGTCACGCGGGGAGCCGCAGCCTATCCCTGCAAGCAACCGGCACAAGACAGGGTACACCCCGGACAGGACACCAGTCCATCACAGGGCACACACAGGCACAGACACACACTCACACAAGGACCACGTTTCCCAGAAGCCAATTAATCCACCGGCATGAGAGAGGAAACTGGAGCACCAGGAGTAAACACATCCCAGGTCTGGAATTGAAACCATGGCACCAGAGCTGTGAGGTAGCAATGCCAACCTCTGCACCACCAGGCCACCCCTCCTCCACAGTGAAAAATGGACTAATGGTTTTCACATGCGGATGTCCTGTTTCTGCTTTCAGAACTTCACGAGTGGGGTGCTGCCCCCAAACGACAGGGCCTGGATCGGCCTGACAGATCAGGAAGAGAAGGGACGCTGGCGCTGGGTGAACAACAAAGCTTTGCAAGAGAATCAAAAGTAAGAGCTGCTACTGCCTCCGGCAGGGAATGTGAAGGAGGTTAAAAAAAAACAGTAGGCTAATCGTCCCAAGCAGTCTGTTTGGAGGTGTGTGGCTAATTGATTCCAGAATCTCCTCCAGATGGCTGAAGGAAGCCAAGGCTTGCTGGGTAGTGAGTGACACTCCCTCCTACCACCCTTTGTGTAAAGATCCTCATGTTGTGATTAAAGGCTCTTATCCGGTCATATCTTAAAAGAGGCCAAGGTATCAACAGTTACTGTACTTGACATATTAGCACCCCAGAACAAGGAAACAGCTATAGTATAAGTCCTTATTCATTAAGGGCACGTAAGGGCACGTAAGGGCAGGACAAGGGGAATAATACTGAAAAATGTATAAATATCAGTGGTAAATAATCTGCTTGTTTCCATTTTTAGGTACTGGCAACCTAACCAGCCTGATAACTTCAAGGGCAAAGATTCCTTAGAGGCGGAGCACTGTGTAGTGATGTACAAAGGAACTAATTTGCAGAATTGGAATGATGCCTACTGCTCTGCCAATAGGACGAGACTGTGTGAGAGACCTGCAGTGGATCTGAATGCCTAGCTGAGCTGAAGGAGTTCAGTGTCTGTCCTGCACAGCAGGAATAGAGACCTGGGGCTCTTTTCTACTTATAAGAATCAGACATGTACTGTAGCATCGTCAACTTAACATCCCAGTTCCTCCTGGAAATGCATTCAGATGTACATAGAATGACCTTTCATGCTGTTACTAATGGCCAATAAAAACAAAAAAAACGAAAAAGAACATTTTTTCATGTTTACCTTTAAATTGTCACAAGTCCCTGCGAGTGGAGGCCCATGTTTGTTATTGGTGGTCATTTAACTGGTGATAAGAGGTTCTTCTTCCATGGACAAACTGTTCTCCGCTTTCCATTCATTTTGAGCGTACCACGATACTGGCCAGACTGAGGAACCGTGCTTTAAACAGAACTTTAAAAATAATAATCCCATCAGAAGGTCAGGGCAAGCTAGGTGGATCGCCCCTGAGCGTGAGCTGAAAGTCTCATTTAATTGTGAAGGGAAGGGAGAGATGGGTAAAGAGTGATGGGACTTTTCTGCTATGAAAGAAAATGGAACTAAGAGAAAATACAATCCCATTCTTCAATCTGCACACTGGGTGATGTAATTATGGTCTTCAGTAGGTCTTATAGAACATATCATCTAGACGGTACCACCGTTATTGAAAAGAGCGTAGGAGAACAGTCACTCACACGCAAATTTATTGCATCGTTTCAGCTGTTTCAAAACACAAAGCTGAAACCTCCGACACCCCAAAACCACTCCGGCCTGAGGTGGGCCCAGAACAGAAGTTTCCCTTGTACTTCCACAGTGGGACCGCCGCAATATCTCTACTGCAAGTGGTGAAGACTCCACTGAAACCTGCTTCAACACCTACACATTGCTACAGTGCTGTGCTTTACAAATGAATCCATGGACTGTAGTAGCAAAAAAAACACCAGTGGTCTCAGTTTTATTTCTTAGTATTTCTGACTCGAATGTACACTGTGATGGTTCTTGTCCCTACTGCATGGTTACATTCTAGCTATATCCTTAGCCTTCATGCTCACTGGCCATAATATTAGGAACCCCACGTCTGTAATGCAAGGCAGTGTGTGTGGCTGAGGCTGAGGAGCAGGAGCCTGACGTCAGTCTCACCTTCCCTGGCCTGGACCCAGGTCTCCGTCCTGCCAGGGTGGAAGGTGCAGAGTGACCACACACCTTTACGAGTCAGGAATGAGGGGGACAGTGTGGGAGCAGTGGGGTGGGACTGGACGGCACTGAACCCTGCAGAACACAGATCACATCAGGGTCAAGCTGCTCCTGCTGCTTGCCATAGGTCAAACAAAGTTCCTAAAATTCTGGCCAGTGAGAGTACTGACATTAGGGACATTGAGTCCCTACAGCCAGGATCACAGCCAAGGTCCAGGATGAGCTCTTATGTCAAGGGGGAACAACTATGGTTCTAGAGGGCTGCAGTCTGTTGGGATTGTCTAATTAAACCAATAATTAGCTGTTATGCCAAGAAGAATGAAAACCTGGGGAGACTGCACCTTGCCAGGGCCAGAGCTGCGCTCCCCTGTACCCCAGTCCCAGGATCACAACCAGGGCACCAGCTCACTGGGCCCTTCGGCTACCCGTCTCTGTGGCACTGCGAGTCTGTCCGTCATGGCTAAGGATCCAGCAGTACAGAGCCTGCGCATGTCCTGGGGTCTACGCCTGGTGGATCCCAGGGTGCCCAGCGGCAGTGCGCGTCAGTGTCACACCTGCGGGTCCAGCAGCAGCTCGCAGGTGCGGCCCAGGTCGCCCAGCTTGACCCGCGCGTAGTCGGCCCGGTTCAGAGCCATCTGGCAGTCCTTTCTGGCAGAGTAAGTGGAGCCCTCGTGAGGCTGCCCAGTGGCCACCTGGAAGGTAGGGGAGGGAGAGTCAGTGTGTTTTGAGCAGGGCTCATCCTAAGAGTATCCAGGCATCTGGTTATTCTGGCCATCTCCTTCCTTATTAAACTCTCATTTTGCAACTCTAGAGAGAGAAAGAACAAGCAGGAACTATCACAAACACCAGTGTGAAGAAAACCTACTGCCAGGCAAACCTCCCAGTACCGCTGTTCTAATGGATTTTGTGTGAGAGTTATAAATCCTTCCAAAAATAAGGAGAACCTGAAACTGCTGTCTGAACATTTTACTCAAGTTTCTGACTGGCAAATGGCTAGAATGGTCCCAGTTTCCTGACCTATTGAACAGATCTTGCTGTGTTTGGAATCACATCTTCAACTAAGGGTATTTGGAAGAAAACCTGGATCTGTGACGTGTTGTTCAGAACATTAGTGCAGTTTTAAGGTCACTCTTTCTGTGCGAACATTTCACCTGGGCCTTAATCTCAGTACATCTGTCGCTTTTGGACTCTCACTGTCTCTCTCTGCAGTCAGTGAGGTCTTCCTCTGCATCTCTCGATGCCCCCCACAGTTGTCTCACCTGCGTGAGGTAGCGTATCTGTGAGCTCAGTTCACTCTCCACCCTGTTGACAGAGGAGGTGAACTGGGTGAGCTGTCTCTCCAGGTAACTGGCGTTGTGCTTCTCCTTCGACAGCTCCAGCACGATGCTCCCTGCAGGAGACACAAGGGAGAAATCAGTTTAACACGGAGCAGGTTGGGCACAGAGTGAACAGGCCCTGGATTCGTGAGGACTCCTCAGTCACAGCTCCTCTTGCTGATTTTATTCCCTTACAAAACTGAAGAGAAGAAACAAGCTTCTATTTAGTAAAGATATAGCACCTACCTGTACATGCAGTAGTACCTTTGACTACAGAACACATAGTACTGAGCAAGATTAAAAAATGCAGAGGTTACAGGACACTCTGAAAAATCTGGCAGTTTCAGTTGAGTGAAGGGTCTTGCTCATGAACTGTTCTACAACTGTGCCGGCAACCCAAGTTATTTTCCACTGCTCCATCACTGCATCCTGCTGGTGATGCTCTAGTTACTTCAACAATGCACACTTCTCACAATGATGTCAGCCCCACCACTGTGATGTCACAGGAGTGATGATGATGACGTCACACCAACCTGCACTCTGCAAGATGACAGCGATCTCCTTCTCAACATCCTCCAGGGCTCGCAGTCTGTCATTTGCCATCGTGCTCCTATCCGGCACCGCACTGAGGCTGAGAGAGAGAAGGGACGAGGGGGCCAGTATGAATATGCCTGGATTACCTCCAGTCCTGTTCACTTTACTGGGAACAGTTCAACACCAGTTCCCACATCCGAACAGCCTGCACATCGCTGAAATGAAGAGTACTCACAAACATTAACAAACGTGTACGGTTTAAATGCTGTTTTACTTATTTTGCTTTTATTTTGATATTAATTTCCTAACAAATTTCCTGTTAGCTCACACTTCGAACAAAGCGTTGACGTAAGAAACTCTACTGGCCGTCTAGAGTATTTAAGTCGCTTTCTAAAGACTAAATGCACCTCCTCGTTATAAATTCGTCTTTTCTAAACGTTTTTCGTTGACATTTATTAACTTCTAATTTATGTACAGCGATTTATCAAGCATGAAACTTATCAGATACCTCCGGTACCCGAAGCAACTCTAACTCTATACAGATAGACAGTTACCAACCACAAAATAATAATACTGCTATCCGGCTAACCACAACACACTTCAATCTGCGACTATCCCGGGTTTAAGATGCTCAATTTCAACACAAACCTACAATTAATCTCCCCGCCAGTTTCAGCAGAACTCTCCTCTTCCGTATACGGGCAGTATACGGGTCACCTGACACGGCAAGAACCAAGGGACAAACCTCCTCCACACTGAGTACGGCCTGGAAAGGCGAAGCTTAAAAATACAGGAACAGAACCCCGAATCGCAGCGAGTCAGCGGAGCAAGTTTGAGTTTGGTCATATTTTACAATTGTCTTTCCTTTTACGCATTTATTGAACCGGTTGCTGTTTTAAAGATCACTTTTAATGCCCACGGTACTCTTTAACTAAGATGACCCTGTCAGCTGACCACGGCCCACCGTGACCGCGGTCGACCCCGAGCAGTAGGGCTCCCCACCGAGTCGAGGGGATTGAACGCCGGGAAGATGGAGAGGTGGAAGACTCACGTCCGCTCGGAGCTTCTGAAGCGAGATTCTCTCCAGAGGGACCCGTACGAGCGCTGGTTCAGTTCGTGTAAGCTGATATTCCCGACCGAGAGTGTCCTGTTTGACAACAGACAGTACCTGGCTTGTTCAAAGCTGGCCAGAGTTTCCTGAGAAATCTGTCAGATACAGATAGCGATCAGGACACGGAGGGTTGTACCTGCGCAGGTTGTTTCGACCTGTGAGTGAGGTTTCGTGCCACAAAATTCCCAATGTATGTGCTGTAATCAGTCCGCTTAACGGAGGGTGTTCTGGCACGGCGAAGTTCCCATTAATACATTTGGTGTCATTTTTGTATATATACATGGGGCGGTGGCTGGAAGGTTGCCGGTTCGTATCCCGCGGCCGGCAGAGGAATCCTACTCCATTGGGCCCCTAAGCGAAGCCCTTAACACCAACTGCTCCAGGCCTGCCGTATAAATGGCTGACCCTGCGCTCTAACCCCAAGCCTCTCTCCCTGTCTGTGTGTCTCATGGAGAGCAAGCTGGGGTATGCGAAAAGACAAATTCCTAATACAAGAAATGATATATGGCCAATAAAGTGATCTTATCTTATCTATGCCCAGAAATATCAAGTCTTTGGGATTGGCATCCCGTTTCCTCTATTCCCTTTGATTTTCAACTTCCATTTTACAATTCGAAAAAGTGAATTGTCTTTGGATTGTGAAATGGAAGGTGAAAATCTACGATAGTGACAGGCGAGAGTGGCTGATTTGAGAGGATTCCCAGCTATGCTCCCCTTTAAACTTGAGAAATAAGAAAACAAACTTGAGCGCAGCGCACACTGTTAGTGTTAAATACGAGCCTGCGCTCCTAAAATGACCTCAAACAATATGCACACATTACAGTTTTGCAGGTGCGAGCTAAGCGCTAATGCACTTGGCGCAGAACAGTTTCGGCCCTTTACTCTATTTAAGATTCCACTGATGTCTTGTTCGGGATCCAGTTAATTCTAGTATTACACACGGGTAGTGACTGTGTGCGAGGCGGGTTGCAATTTCCGCATTAGTCGCTAAAACTAAGTATTTAAAAGCGGTCCACTCCTCAGCGAATTCGGTTTACTGTGTGGTGTACGTTTACTCCTGGCAACGTTTTTGGTGTTGTTAGGCCCTTGAAATAGTGCTGGAAGGGACAATATTTCTGAGCTTTTACTAATTTCCTGATGCCTACTGCTGATAATCCTGATCAATTAACCTCAATTTTATATTGGAGATGGAGTGCCCATCTCGGGAAAACACCCTGTACACAGTGCTGCATATTGAAAACAATGCAGTTACAGATGAGATTAAGAGTAAAACAAAAAACAAATGGCAGCAGTAACAATAGCTATGTTGTAATAATATTATTACTGTTGTTCGAATCTCCTAGGGGTAATTTTGTTTTGCAGCAATACTACAAAACCATCACTAACAGAGAGGTCAGGACAAACGAGATTTCCTGTGAACACTACAGGGAAAAAGCATAATTATTTAAAATTATTTAAAAGCAAAATCATAGAGGGGATAAACTCTTATCGTTACTCCGGGGGACACAGAGGTGACTCCCAGGTGAGATATGTGTACACTACCAGAGGAGGGGTGTGTCACAAGCTCCATACTGCTGTAAGCCTGCCTTACAACCCTCTGTTTGCAGAGGGCACTGAGGCAGATGTGACGTATCCCACTGATAATGGTGACTGGTTACATGCAGTACTGATGTCATTCAGCAATGACTACCCTGATCAAAGTTGCAACAGCTGTGCCTCACCTGGGATCTGAACCCGCAACCCTCCTGGTGTGAGTCCAGGGATGGGCAGGGAGCACCCCAGCTGAGGAGGAGAGCAGCTTCAGCACCCCCTGGCTGTCTGAGCTGGGGGCGTTGGGAGACCCCGCACGTGCTGACTCTGCTGGAAAGGAATGGCACACGGCGGTGCCCGAGGATCATGGGGAAACGTCTGCAGGGCGCGAGTGACGGGCAGCTCTTGTGCCCGCAGATTCCCGTCTGCTGGAGAGACTGGACCTGCGGGAGACCTTGTGGGAGGAAGCCAAGCAATTCAGGTACAGAGCCGTCCAACAGGGGTC